TGTGTGTCATTTCTGCAGTGGTGTTGAGGTTTCCTTTCCTTTTTGTAGACTTATTAAATCAGGTAGGATTTGTTTTATCATTACCTCACATTTCTTTTCATTCTATTCCTGCCCTTCTCTGTGATGATCCTTGAATCCCTTAGTATATTGTGGGTTGCGAGTGTAGTTTTGATAATCATTTAAGTTCAGAGGTACATATACCTTAACCCCACTTACTGTGGATGACCCTGCTCTGGCATGTCGTTGTTCTGACTTCCCTCCTTAGGCTTGCAGAGTGTGGTTTTGATAATCATTTAAGTTCAGAGGTACATATACCTTAACCCCACTTACTGTGGATGACCCTGCTTGTTCTGACTTCCCTCCTTAGGCTTGCAGAGTGTGGTGTAGCTTGTCTCTTGGTGGGGATCAAATCTCTTAATTTGGTTTTGAGTAGAGCACTTTTTTGGTACCGGATGAGTTTTTTGTGGGGGAATTCCTGAATCTTGGGACCCAGGGTCAGTCCTGTTGCTTAACTTCACTTGGCCTTCCTTCTATCCCACACCCTTCTCTCTGTTCCTTCCTCTGTTCAGTTATGACCTTCTAAATGTTTACAGCTTGCCATCAGTCCATGGGGCTCTCTTGGTGACTTTTTTGGGGGAAAGGGTGTTCAGGTCCTGTGGTGGCCGGGCTCATCCTCTCCACTCGGGGGGAAGATATTATGTATATGGACTTCCAACACTAGGGTTTGGGGGTTCAATTTCACACAGTGGAAGTGGCAGTTGTCCCAATGTAGCTTTGCTCTACAATATACACATCTTCTTACTCCACAGCCGTGGTAAAATAATTTTTTCAACTGCTTTGTGCAAGTTTGGAGATAATTTCTCACAGATCCTTGGATGGTGAGGTGATCACATTTGGTCTGGTCCTTTTTTGGATTTCCCTCTTACTCAAGTTTCCATTTCCTGCCATAGTTTTTAGGAGGTGATTTGGGATTTCCTTTGCAAGGATGTCACCATCTGGAGAGATCCCTATATTTGAGGTTCTTATTCCCGTTTGTTTGTTGTCCCCTCAAAGCTCAGGGACTGGTACTCCATCATAATCAGTTCTGACACATTTGTTAGTCCTTCTACATTTCACCATGGGGTCATAATTAGCTCTTTGTTGGAATTTCTTTCATGGTTTGTGGAGGACAAGTGTGTTGTGCCAGATACATTCTCCATCCTTAACTACTCAACCTGCATACTGACTTTCTTCTTTGGGTCCATAGGATTTGTGTTTTCTGTCCAGACTCCTCTATTGGACCTCTCCTCAGCTCCTTACAATCTGGATGGTCTGGGTTTATACCCATCGTGTTCCTTTCCAGAGGCTGTCATTTCCATCATGGCAAGGATGTCTGGCTTCCTCACAACCCAATTCTGCCTCTTTTCTTCTAGGAGAAGAGACATAGTTTGGTTGGTTGGTAAAGGTGGAAACATTTTTTCTTCATTCCCATGCAATACCCCCTTCATCTTGGGGTATTGTTTTATTTCATACTCAGTTGAGTCAAGTTTTCCTATTTGGTTTAGAGCTAAAGTGATTCTGGACCGTAGTCTTTCCTCCTCTACTTCTCCCATTTTGATTGAGGTTCTCTCTCGTTTGGTTACACTGGCTTCTAAGGAAGCCCTCATTGCTATTAATTATGTCTTCTTGTATTGTCTTATATAGATTAGTTGGTTCAGTCAAGCCTCATTTGGGATCCCTTGGGGGCTCCATTCATCCTTCTTTCCCAAGCTAATTAGCCTGGTTGGCTGGATCAGGTCTACACTTTTTGGGTCTCTACCTCTCAGTTCATAATGTCTCCTTTTCTGGGTGCTTCCCTTACGGTAGGGTGAATGAGGTGTTTTTTTTGGGTGCTTGGGAAGTTTTCGGTTGGTGGTCTTTCTCATATTCCTCTTACCTTTCTACCACTGGGCTCCTAGCAGTTCATTGGGATCTGGTTCACTTCCTTCTGACCCTATAGGGATGGTCGGTGGTAGTATTTTCCAACTATTCATATCTAGTCTTGTACATCTTCAGGCAAGTGGGCACTCAGTTAAGTGACCTCTGGTGTAGGCAACTGGTTTTCCTGTGTTGGGCCTCAGTCATCATATTCTTGTTCTGGCTTGTTATATTCTGGGTGCCCTGTATCACATGGCAGATCATTTATCTCTGCCCAGTCAGGGCTCTCTCCTGTGATGGGGTGTGCACTGTTTCCTTCCATGTTGACTGCTCTCATTGTTTATTCCTTGGAATCCTTCCCAGTCTCATGACCATTATCCAGTTCCCTTTATGGTAGGATTTACCAGTAGATTCACCTGACTTATTTTCTCCTTTCTGCAGATTGATTTTGTCTCTTCTGAGCATTTCTCTGTATTCACTACCTCGTCCTGTCCATGGCTGCTCAATTCCTTCATCTGTTGGAGGACTTCTTCGGTGCCAGTATGTGGACCACTCCCCATAACTTTACTGCTTATTATCTTCACTGACTGGCTGTTTCTTGTTCTGAGGGATTTTGTCTTTCTACAGTTGCCATTTTGTGCTCCTCTCTTTCTATGTGAGTGGTATGTACTCCATTCTTGTTCTTGGCATGTTTGGATCCCACTCTGTGGTGAGTGGTGCCTGACCAGATATACTTTGTCTTAAATCTGCACTGTAAGACCTGGGATCATATACCATGCTAGATGACTGTGACATTGAAGCACTTCCTACTGTGGACCTAATGTACAATTCAATGTGTTGGTTGATTGACTCCATCAACGTGTTCTGTATATTTTCAAAATACAATATTGTAACACATGAACAGGTCATGTTATGCCCACTGTTGAGATGGGGTGTTCTGCAGGACCACTCGTTGGAATACCTTGTGATCTTTTGCTTCATAAATATGTTTTGCCCAGACCATACTCTCATGGACTAACATGAGTAAAGCAAATATGGATTGCTGCTCATCTCTATGAGGATTTATGACATTTGATGCTCATTCTACTGCAGACCTGATGTACAATTCCAGATGCTACCAGGTGTAGGATGATGCACTCCATCAACATGATTGCTCTGCTTTCCAAAATGGGGTATTGCACTGTTTCCAGTGCTGAGGTCCTCTGGACTCTCCAATGCATTATTTCCATCCTCCTTCTAGTGGAGTATAGGAGTCCTTTCCACTTACTAGTTCCTAACTGGTGAGGTGGTGGACCATGGAGGCCTCTCCTCTTTAGCGTGCACAGTATCACTCAGCTGAGAGTAGGGCAGATATCATATTGGGAGTTAACTTTCTCCCAAATTGTAAATGTTATTTCTGACAGATACTTACCTATTCTAACATTTTCCATCTGTTTTTCCCACTTCCAGTGTGGTTTGTGTGATCTGACCAATTTCAAAGTAGTTAACAGCTGCAAGATTACAGAGAGTGCTTGTACAATAGGTGGAGGGTTGCTGCAAAACCATTTGCATGCTAGTATGCAGCTATCTCATGTTAACATCTGTGAGGGTAAGTGGGAGTATCAAGGCTAGTGGTGAGCAAAAATTTGCAACAGTAGAGGACAGTGTAAGTCAAGAAATCTTTTTGGGAGAATGGGTATGTATCGGAAATATTAGGTCGTCAAGAAATTAATGTCACTTTTTAGATGACAAAACCGGAATAACTTATATACAAAACAAAACATTTATTAAATGAAATAGTCTCCATTCTTGATGCCTTTCCATTTTACAGTCAGGTTGTTAATGCCCTGATTAAAGAAATCACTTGGCTTTGAAGCAAAAAACATGTCGATGTCCTCTTTAACACCTTCCACATTTGCATAAATTTTCCCATTAAGATGGTGTTGCAGCAAACTAAAATGATGGTAATCTGATGGTGCCATATCAGGAGAATATGGTGGGTGGAGGAGAACTTCCCAACCCAACTCCATAATCTTGTGTTACGTCAATGTGTCACATGTGGACATACATTGTCGTGGAGAAGAAGAACGCCTTTGTGATTGACGAGTGAAGGACGTTTCTGATGAAGGGCTTGATTTAAACATTCTAGTTTTTGACTATAGATCTCTGCATTGACAGTTCGCTGTGGATTGATGAGTTTGAAATGAATTACTCCTTTGATGTCTCACCAAATGCAAAGCATCACTTTCTGCAGATGGAGTCCAGGTTTTGGGGTTGGAAGTGGTTTTTGTCTAGGACTGTGCCATTGTTTTTGGCATTTAATATTCACATAGAAAATCCATTTTTTATTGCTGGTGACAGTTTTGTCCAGAAATGGTTCACTCGCATTATGTGCCAGAAAAGATGAAGCAACGTTCACACGTTGGAAATGATGATCTTCGGAGAGTTTGTGAGGCACCCAAACACCTTCTTTAAGGAGTTTTCCCATATTTTTTAGATGTTTACGTATTGTTTCATGAGAGACATGCAATTTCAGGGCCATTTCATGAGTGTGTTGCCTTGGGACTCAACAAGCGTCTTCAGAGCATCAATATAAATTCCAACATGTTGGCCTCTTCCATCACAGTTTTTAAGGCTAAAGTCACCTGAACAAAATTTGCTGAACCATCGTTGCCAGTTATGAACGTTCAAAACATTTCCATAAATTTCTTTGTGGTTACAGAAGCATTGTTTTCCTTCTTTAATTCAAACAGCATTACATGCAGGAAGTGTGTCTCTTTGTGTGCCATCACTATAAAAGATTAGAGCATACTCAACTTTACACATTATATAGGCTACACTCACGTGATGTTAAATGGCATGTTTAACTATTATATGTGACATACCTTTTTTGGGGGAGTGTTTAATGAAAGCGATTTAAAATGTGACATTAATTTCTTTATGACCTAATACATTTTTGGTTTAGGAAAATGTTAACTTTCATCAAATAGAAGGAGAGCAATTCCATGATATGCACTTTATGCCATTTTCTTCACTGTGTACATTATTATTTCTAATACTGTATATATGTATTTGTGTGCAGATTTCTTTATGTGATAAATATATCAAGCAATTATTTATTTCAGATTATGGATCCATTAGGGGTACTGGTTGATATTGTTGATATAAACTCTTTAAAGCCTTGGAGCCAGAGTAGACCCAAAAGCCTCCATAATGCTAGCAATTTTGGAAATCAGGAAAAAATTCATCAGATCAGCCCTTTTCCATATAGTAATTATATTAACAACAAAGTGATTTTGTGGTGAGTATCCTGCATGCAGAATGTATAAATTAACCAGAAATACTTTCATTAGTAAAGAACCTTTACAAGGTTTTTAAAATTTATTTAAATCTAGCAAATAGAGATATAAGATCGTTACTAGTGTCCCACAGTGAAGGGTCCTGGACTCTCAATATTTTATTTTCAAGTTTCTCTTATGTAGAATTTAATATACTAGAAAAATCAGGAAAAAAAACTGTCAATGAAAAACAGTGTAGACTACATGTTTACCTTCTGCAAGTGGAAAAGAGTTTATTAATATTCAATGAAAAACTTTATTTACAATTTACACTGCATTTTGTTTCCCTTTATGATTATTTATCAGTGTTAAAGAAGTTAAGTGCACTTTCATACTCAGTGAAAAACTGTTTTATGATGTACACGACATGTTGCTTACCTTCAGCAAGTGCTAAAGTAAAACAATATGCAATAGGATAAAATGAACAGCTTTTCCAATAAACATGAAAATATTTTATGTTTGTAAGGTATCACTACTTAAAAGTGACTACTTGATTTTTTGTTTTCCTTAACTTTTGGCATGTTGTTTATAAACAAATTGTTGTTAGAACTTGTTTGTATACCAACTACTAAAGTTTGATATCCTACAAATCATTTTCAAGCAGAAAATATAGAAACACCTTAAAGATTTTAAAATTAAAACTACTTCTTGTCATTTGATATCATTTGTTTTTAAAATATGTGCATCACTCAAGGAATATAAAAACACTGTCATATGACAAACAAGATTTAATGTTGCTTTTGCAGGATAATATTTAACTTTGCACCAACATTATGTTTTTTAGAAAATACAAAGGTATATTGCTCTTCCAACAAAGCATCAGACCATTCATCATATCACTTTTGCTATTTCTTCATTTCATTGAATGCTTTGGCAGAGTTTTCAGCATAAAAGCTACTGATGTCACTGGGTCCAACTTGCACAATTCACATTAATTTTCAAACATTATATGACTACAACTGGGCCCTGAACTTAACTATTCCGTTTTGAACAGAAAATCCTCATTCACAGGCCACTGATGTGACAGGAGAAGTGAGAAGTAGCTATGCAATTACTGCAAAATCTGGAAAGATGTTCAGCATTCCAGCTACTACTTCACAAGCTTCTTGCAGAGTCTTGAGAAAAGAAGATTTAATGAACACTTTCAATTGAAACCGATCACCTTTCATTCGTTTAACATCAATTAAAGGTGGCAGCACTTTTACATCTTCTCCATCACCCTCTTTGCTTCAACACCGAGGGAATTATACGAAAATTCAACTTCTTTCTGCCCTTAACTCTGCAAAGTGGAGCTTGATGCCCTAATAATTTGAGGGTTTAAAACCTTATCCATGGCACTGAGAAGGATCATGGATGTATTATCAAACCTTGATTGAAGGTTTTTTCCAAGCTGGGTCAAATACTTCTGAGATTTCCGATGAAAACTTCCCCCTGTTCTACCTGTAATTTTATGTACTTTATACTTCTCATCAGAGCCTTCTCCAGATGAGAACCTGCCTCAGTCTTAAACTGATGCAGATGTGCAATAGTGCTTTCAACAAATGGAAGAACATGGAACACACCCAGGTCATCTCTGATAGATAATGCTCAATTTTGTGAGGAAAGGCAAAGAATCCATGAAAAACAATGGTAACAAATACAAATTTAGCAGTATTAACCTTCTTGGACAAGTCTGTTGCCTCAGCATTACTTGCTTTCATGGATTCATGCTCAAGTGCAGCCACTAATGCAGGGTAGCAGACATGCACTGCCTTTACTGCACTGGGGGAAAACTACCAGTGTAAGTAAGCTGGTAGTTTGAGGGTGATCTTGAGGAGTTCTTCATCCTCTCCCCCAGCCTACATTTCTTGGAGAGCCCTTAGACTATTGTACCTGACAGGAGAATTGGCAAAAAAGTGATATATTTTTTGAAGTTGGGTGTAATACTCACTGAATCCTAGATTAGCATCACATGCAGTTGAAGCTGTAAGTGCCAACCTCTGAGGAACACAATGAATATGCACCAGCCTAGGCCAACACACATGCTTAAGTATAGCCCCCAACTCCATTCCAACAACCAAGAATCACACCAAAGGAAAGAGATGAGACCTTTGTCAATTCTAAGCCTTTGTATTCCACAAGATGCTTTAAAGCATACATAATTGTCATTGTTCCTCCATCTTCAATATCAATACAAATCTCCTTTATCCTGACAAATTCTCGTGCATACTGGACCCGGGAGTTTTGGATAACTAAAACTCTGAGATGGCTCAATAAAAACCAGAGCTGTGCATTGTGCCATTATGTATCTAGGAAGAACTAGTGGATCGACGCTACATTTGAAAATTCACTCGGATAGCACCACTTCATTTTTCATCTGTGCAAAGTATTACTCACTACATTTTTAATAGAAAATATTAATTTAATCATTTGTATATTGTATAGAATT